AAAAGAAACAGAGAAGCCCTCCGACAGCAAAGCACTCATTCCCAAAAACTGGCGAGAGCCAATGTGATTACTGCTGGCTACGTTCCGTTCCAAACAATGCATTGAAGGCCTTCGCCTATGCAGTGTCGTTGGGCATGGGCAGCTTTCCCGGCAAAGACCACACCCCCGAGTTCGCTTCAAGTGTTTACTGGATAAATGTACAGGCGGCGTTCCCGGGTGCCAAACAAAACCAATTTACTTTTGCTCTCCGAAATGAAGCTTGAGGGAAATTGGTGCTTTAGTGCTTTATGGCTGCGGTTCGAACTCCAGCATCCCACAAAAGCATGGATCAAAAGCCAAAAGACACGCGGACCGGGCAGACAGGCGGACCTGTCTCACCCTGTTGGGCTGTTGAGCAGATTGTCTGCCGTAGTCATCGCCTCTTTAGACGCCCGAGCTCCGCACCACCACGGAGTCGGCGTATCTCACCGCCACCCATGGCTCCAGCGGAGCGCAGAGGGCACCTCGCGGCCATGTGTGTGGCATGAAATAGGTCGACGTTGATGATTTTTTGCCAGTGGGAGTATTCAGTCTGCAGACTTCTGTTGTGAGTTTAATGGATGTACAATGATGTACAGTAAGTGTATGGTGTATCTTCTTATTCCATGTGCCCATGCTAATGTAATCTGATGTGCGTGGGTGGGGGATTCTTCACCAAACTGGAGAGTGGCGACCACGTATTCAGTGCGACCACGCATCTCGCTTGAAACACTAAACACCAGTGGGGTTGCTTGGGATCCAATAGCTGCCAATGCTGTTCGTCAGCGTGTTGGCCTCTTCTAAGGGAGGTAACTCCTAGCGATAGACTAGTGACTAGTGTATCTGGGCAAACGTTCCAAAATAATTAAAGAAACAATTTATATCTCTGTTCAATCTGTTGGGGTGACTAGTTGAGAGTCACCTGCAAAATCAATGCAGGGTTTTTCACGATGTCTAACCCTTTCAATCCTTCCGAAACGATGCTCTTCCACTCGCTGCACCACCTCATCCCCGTTTTCGGTTGCCACGGTCAAACCACCTCCGGCACTCCCAGAGTCCACATGGCTGACATACACACATACCCCCCACAAACGAACCGTCGACAGTCCACGGGTGGATGCGCAATGCTCCAATCCCAAGGTTTCAAAAACCATGCAAATCAACGAACATCAAAGATCAAAAACACTACCGTCCACCTGACAGCCGCACCGAGCCGAACCAACGTCCGCAGCCGCAGCCTTGACAATTGGAGGAAAACCCGGCGAAGGCCTCATGTTCGCGGTGCAGACTCGTCCGGATTCTATCACCATAGAATCCCTCTTTCGAGCGGGCGTCAAATAAACGAATATTATTCGTCCATTCTGAACTGGTCGCATTTAACATCATTTAACCATGCCTCATGGATAGCAGTTGCCAACGTGCGTCATTGGAACTACAGGTTTGGGACCCTTCAACACTCTTCTATCCAACTTCTTCCTGTGGTCATCCTGCCTTTATACATGCTAGAGCTGCGCGCTGCAATGACAAGAATGTAAGTCGGAACTTAGGTGGAAGTCAACCAATATGTAAGTCATGTCGGACAACGGTGGTCTATGTACGCCTTGAATTGCCATCTGCCTGAGCAATACTGAGAGAGGGAGTGGGTCTGACGGAACTCAAGAGGGCTGCGAGCACAAGAAAAGACCAACTAGCCTCCAGGATTGTAGGATTGAGGACTGGCTCCAATCCGCGGAGATGAAGAAAACCAATCGCGCAATCTTCAACCCGCACAATCCCAAAAGGAATTAGATAGGATCAAGTTCTCTCTATATATATATATACAGTACACGTAGAGACACCGTACATGAAAAAATATGAAAAACATACAGTATGTGCATTGTTGACTTCGGGGGGCAATGTAATGCCCTTAAGATCATGTCAACCAAACCGCTTGAATCGCTTGAACGGGTCATCGGTTTCGTTGGCCCAGGCAGCCCAGGTGCAGTGCTTCCTGTCTCGTCTCGCCACTCGTAGGGCGAGGTTATTCTCTGGCTCACCAAGCTAGGCCTCAGCCGAGCATGTGCGAGCGTGCGAGCCTGCCAGACCAGCGATCCACCATTGTTCTAGTATAGCTTCAGAGAACATGAACCATGGATACCCATGGTACAAACTAGCGCATGTCCTGGTGGCTGTCAAATCCCATATCACATCTCCATCATGATTCTCAAAGGAAGTAGTGTCTCAACATGAGCCGAGCGGCGGTTGGAAATGTACGTTGCAAAAAGGACTTGTGAATGCTTGGTCTGTTGAAACACTGTAGGGTAGAGGCTACAAAGGCAAATGTCCCGATTCCCATCACAAAGGCCAAAAGCCACCCAGCAGTCCAGCAGTTACGGGCAACAGGCAATGGGTGTCTCACAACCCCAAAATACACCAAAATGTCAACACGCTCCTTAGAACTTGTTTCCTCTACCTATGCAATGTTGAGCTATCCTTAATTAGACCCCATGCACTGAGTATTGCATCAGTCAACAAAAGAGTCACAACAGGTGCTTTCATCGAGACTGCGCTGGTCCCATCTGCCTTGGCTGAGGTCCAGGCACCGCTACCAAGCAATTGCGGTCCAGGAAGAGCTCCAGGTTGCGAAAGCACCACTGCCTAGTTTTGGTGGAAGTCGAGTGCCTGTCCACCACTACCACCGAAACCAAGGTTGCTTCTCCAATGACATACCTAGGACTTAGGACATGCTCCGAGGCAATGATGCGACATTGTTGGCATCAAGTCTGGTGCGTGTATATGTGTGTGTGTGTGTTCTGACACATCATCTAGCGGGCTTTCTGACATCCTTTCTGGCATGTGTTCAAGCCTGACATGTGTTCTGACATATCTTCTGGCACGTACTTCTGACATATGCTCTCGCATGAAATCTGGTATGTGTTGTATGGCCCGACCTCTGTTCGGATATGCGTTCTGACATTTGTTCTGTGATTCTCTGAAACCTTCCGTATGTACGTAATAATGTGTTCTGACATTTGTGCTGGCATCAAGTATGCGTGGGCTTTGCCCAAAGTCCAGGGCACACCACACAGCCGCAACTGCCAGAAGTGCAGGGCGCACCACTCTGCAGCCCGAACCGGTAAAGAACAACCGTGCACCACTCTGCAGACCCACCAAGGGTCCAGCGTTCGTCTGGCATGTGTTCTGGCGAGCAGCCCGAACGGCAAAGGCGCAGGAGAGAGTGGCACAAGAAGCGGCAGGAACGCAGGCGGGAACACTGACATAAAGACCCTGACAGGTGGGGAACTTCAAAAAAAGTAGCTAAAGTACAAGTAAGTCGTGTGATGTGGCACAAAAGCGGTCCACTCAACAAAGCCCATTGATGAAAGCAATCTGGACCAAACTGCTCGCAGATGCAGGAGAAGCAATTGATGGATACAACTACTATATTTAAATGAGTTTCAAGACCCTGTTCAAACGGTGCCAAGAATGTGGCATCAAAACAAACCCATTGTTTAAGAATCGCAAGCTTATCAGTCATGGCTGAAACAGCGCATGCTTCTGCCTTCATTTCTCAGGCCCTTGCGAGACATCACCAGAGTTCACGGCGAGCCGCCACCACTGGTCGCCTTAAAGCTCGTGTCGCATGCCTCTCGTGTTGCATGCCTCTGACCGGTCGACGTCGCATGGTGTCGAGAAGTTTTCTCGGTGCCCAACCGTTGCCGAAGGCCCATTCTTCGCTGAAAATCAGGCCTGAAGGTGGCCAAGCTGCAAGGTGCAGCTTGGTGCAAAAAGACACAAAAGGTGAAAAGACCACGACATCTTCTTCAACTACATGTTCTATCCTGTGAAATACCTTGGAAAAAGAAATGTTCTATCATTGTCTTCAATTGGTACCCAATCCACACATCCACCAGTCCTCCAAGCACGATCCTCCGCATCCCGGACCACACCGTAGTCGCCCATGGAGAACGCGGTCAGAGAGAATCGCATCGGGGGACGGTCACCGCGGAAGGGTCGAGTGGAACGACTCTATTATATTTGGGGTGTTTGCTGTCACAGGAGCGCCATCCATTCCTGGCCATGGAAAAGGCAAACGGAAACCCACAAGGTTTCTATGTTGCTTCACTTCTGCATGTGAAAGGAATTTCTTGGTGAAGTGAAATTGTTGTGATTGGGTGAGTCTTATTTACAGTAATTTAAAAGTGAATGCTTTGCTGCATGCAACATTCTGGACGAAAGGATTCTATACCATCCTGCGGCTCACCCATGGTCAACATGTTCTCTTGCAAAATCTGGAGGAAAACGTTGAAAGTAATATCTTGCTCTAATGCATGTTCACCTTCAAACCACCCGGTTTAGAAAATGTCTTCGGCAAGCACCATGCTTCTGGTGTGCATACAATATCACACAATCCAAAATCCCAACTTGTACAACAATGATTCAAAAAGAATGTGCCCAAGCAAGCGCAATCACGTTGCTACACTTTGCCCCCCTTGACATCGGATCTATCTTGTTCCATCAAGCACCAAGCAGCCAGCAACACATCCATCCGGCTGTCCCCTCAGATTCGTGACTGTCCCAAGATCCGGACGACACTCACTCAAATCTTAAAAAGGTGCAAGCGCACGCGGCGCACGCGTTTGATCTCCCAGAAACAATATGGTATGGAGCTATCTCGGGTTGAACCAACGGCATTTGGAGCCATTCTGCCCACGGTACAGCCAAACCTAAGGCCCTGGAGATCGAGCGCTGGTGAATTCCAATGGCATCCAAGACTGTCCAATCAGCCGTGTGCAATCGTCCACACACAGCAAAACTGACCCCAAAGCTCAAGGCTATACAAATTCCAAGCAGCCACGGCCAGGAGAGATGGTCACCCCAACAAAAATGAGGGGAGTTAGTTAGTCCTTCCACAAAAAAGACATATGTGGATCATCACAAGTCGTCACTAATTCTCAATACTGGTTGCCAAAAATTGCAGACTGGCTCAACGATGTAAAACAGCAAGGCCACCGATCTATCTGGCTGGTCGAGAGGCCACCTGAGCAGCTACTCCACCCTCCCCCGCTGCTGCGGATCTCATCGCTCCCCGCTACTCACTGTGCAGACCGTCACAGGACCTCATCTCCAGCCTTCAACGCGAGAGGCCAAGAAAATCTCCATCTCTGCTCACACCACTGGAAATGTCAGTGGATTCTCACCCAGTTTTTGAAAATTCCCATTTGAGAATGTCTCAACATGTCTCAAGTGATGGAACAAATCTTGCACCTGACAAAAATGCCCATTATTCATCGGCTGAAATGAATCAGGATGAAAGCCTGGAAGCAGCCTACCCCACAAAGACCAGACCCAAATGATTCAAAAACGCAGTATGGCAAAACTCTTACAACCCTTTGCCTTTCCCAAAAGCATCGCATGGCATTTGGATGATTGGGATTTGTCGGGATGTCAAAACCAGCTTTCTACAAATGTTGAAAGTCCACCACCTGCTAGATGAAGCGTTTCTACTTGAGTTTGTTTACTTCGTCCCACTTCAAAGGGAATTCATTTGTCACCCCTCCCACAAGAGATTTAAGGCTGGTGTTCGTGAAGTTACGCCCCAGTTGTATAACAGCTGCAGGCAAGAGTGCGCGCAACGCCTGGTGTCTGTGTGTGTACACCTTGGAATCATAGGTCACATGCAGGCGCTAAATTGCTGGGGGCGTGACAATTGATTTCCTATTCACGCCAAAGAAGCTGCAGAAATCAACTGGCAGGATGTGTGCACAAAAAGATATGTACCTCTTTAGTTAAATTTTATCTACAGTAAGTGACACAAGCACAGTGAAGAGTGAAGAGGTGGAAGGTTTGCATGTTGAGCAGTTGACAGTGAAGTGGTGGAAGATTTGCATGTTGACGGGTGCGATTCAACTCTCACTTCTATCAGGCTGTCGTGCTTGCTAGGCTTCGGCTACGCAATATCCCAAGTGTGTCTGACCCAAGAGTGCCGTCCGTGGCCTCGAATCACGTGGCACCTCTGATAGAGCGGCAAGAGAAATATTATGCTGTGCTAGGGTAGAACAGACCTCGTACGGTTTAGTCGGCGATGTTCCATCGACGTGAAGTGCGCCATCTACATTAGTAATGTGGGTGTGCATGGTATGAACGTTGACGGCCCCCCAAAAAAGCCGGTGTGAGTTGCGGGTCAGTACCTGCTTGTTACTCAGGCGCGCAGGCGCCTTCACAGTGGGCTGTAAACAAGCATTGACACCGGGTCGGTTTGCAATTGTGTGGTCTAGAGCAGGTGAAAGAGAAGAACGGCTTGCTAGGCCGAACTTCCCGTCGGGATGGAGCAGGATCTGGGACCCGGACCCTCCAAAGGGAACCGTACCAGAACCTGCAAACCCACCCCCTGACGTCCTCCGTTAGTCGCTTAATCCGGCCAGTGAAACCAAAGCGGTGACCCTGAGCCCAACCAGTCACCACACAGCAACAACACCATGAACAAGCGAGAGCACCCCAACACCCGCCCAGACACACGGGCATGCGCCTAGGCTTCGATGAGGTGGAGGTACGACTTTGTCGGGCATCGTCTTCTTCTCATGTCTTCGTCTTTTGTCTTGTGTGCACGCACACATGCACATTAGTCTGCCCCTTAGCTTCTAAGCTTTTGGCCCCGTGTGTGAGACCCTTCGAGTCAAAGGGAACCTTTCGGGTTTTTCAGCACGGGGATGGAGAGGACGTATGAGGCTCCATCCAACGAAGCTCCTCATATGCTCCTAGGATATCATCAGGGACGCCTGATGACGCACCTGCTTCACTGATGACTTCACATTTCCCACTGGGCTCACTGGGCCCCTTTGTTACTAGAATGTAACAATCCGCTGGCCATTGCATCGGTTTTTGAGCTCTGCAGACACGCATTTGTCGCTTTCCTTTGAACTCTCGATATTGGACTTGGAGGTTTGGAGACTTTGAAGATGTTCAGACCACCTTACTTAGCCCTTGTCCTGGTTTCTTTTGCTTTTTTACTTTGGCTGGCGGGTGGCAAACTTAAATCAGCCTCGTACGTAATGTCCCGAGTATGTGTGTGTGTATGTGTGTGTTCTGCCTCCCCAGAGAGGAACAGCAAGCTGGGGCCATCACCTCAGCGAAAACCAACTTTCCCCCGATTGGAGCGGAGCGAAAACCACACGGAATCGGTCGAGAGAAATGCAGACGTCTGCCTGTCCAGTGGACTCCAAGTTTAGCCATTTAGATGTGGATCCGAATGTTCGCGACCAACTTGCTGGGTTGCTTATGCCTTCCACTCAGTAATTGTTGGCCCCCTGGCCCCCGTAGCTTCAGCATCTCGTGTCAAGTTGCGATGCGCCAGGAAAATATGGTCCCCATCATGAAGTAGTACGTGTTGAGGCAGGCTGAAGCCCTTTGGCACCTCCGACATGCTTTGCGATGAAGTGGAAAAATTGTCCAGAGGAAAAATGGGAACACACTTACACTTGTCGACTCAACAGTCCATAATTGGTGCAAAACCTGCTGGGATTTGGGTTCTTCCTTTGTATCCGGTTCTATCCCTCACATGTCTCTCCAGACCTGGGTCTCGTTCACAAAGGTACCGTTAGCGCTCACGTCCTGAAGAGCAGGGCTGGCGGACTTCTTTCGAACATCGTCCCGATCGTCACAGTGAGAGAGAGCTCGTGGTCCGACCCTACAAACAGGAGATACTCATTCAATTCGTGTCCATTCAGCATAAAATGAATGAGACAGGAAAAAATAGGGTGTGTATTGGAATAGGCAGGCAGATCCCCAGACAAACCACGTCTATTGAGTCTATTGGTATCACCAGCTCCTCCACCTGCACATGACCTTCTGAGCAAAGCAGCACACAATGACGGCCTCGCCAAGAGTCGCGGACTGACACGGATACGACCAGCGGCGACGTGCAAGTCTCACGTGGTTCGGCCACCGAGTTGTTCACGCCCCAGACTACTTGCTGCCCAGAAGCCGCTGACCACAGATCTTGGAATGACCACCTCCAATCATCGTGCTGAAGGCCCGTGTAGACTCAGGTTCGAAGTCAAAGGGAGGAACCACTAGCATGCCTATACTATGTGTCATCTAAAAAGCATCCAAATGCCTAAAGGCCCAAGGCCGTCTAAGCGACCTCTGCACTACCAGGTTCAGTGGCAGGTTCATCTGCTTTACAGCTCAGATCTGTTCCTTCATTTCGTGGTAGAGTCCCCCCTTTCGTTGCGGCAAAACCTCGTGCCAGCAGCCAGAAAAGGTCTTCGGCAAATCCCTATCCAGATCCGCTGCATGCTGCACCTCTGGCAAAATCCCCGGCACCGGCCGGTGGCAGCTGGCCGGACTCTACCTGACTCCGGTCGCCTCACAATCTGGACGACGACCCACAGAGACTAAACCATCCTCCGGTAGACGATGAACCTGTCGAGAATCCGAGAGAAAAGCGGAAAAGCCAGTGCAGAGACCTCTTCACATCTCAACCCTTTCAGAAACAACATTCTCAGAAGTTGCCAAGACAAGAATTAATCTGAAGCTGCTCTCTATGCTGAGACTCGAAACTGAGTGCGGGGGATTGAATGAGCTCACAAGTAGACCAGAGTACAGTAGCTTTTGGATTTGCTAGTTTCTATTTTAGGGGATGACTGTCATCCTAAACTCCCAGACGGTCATGCAAGGATCTTCACAGATGAAGACCCAACCTCTCCGCTTGTAAGGTCCACAAGACGGCTTTGACCCACCTGGACGCAGATGACGCGAGTGTGCCAGCAGAAGCACCAATGAACATCAGCGGCAAAATGAGAAAAAAACGGCTTATGTTGAAAGAAAAAGAACAAAATTCACCAAAAAAGAGGACATGTTGTGTGTGTGGATGGAACGGGTTCTTATATGTATATATATATATATCTATACATGTATAAAGACTCCAAGCTCCCTACGCCGCCCATCTTTTTGCTATGCAAGGCCTGGTTTGTCAGAAAATTGAAAAGTACGAGTGTGAAACCACTCTAAGATACCCGGGGCCGTTGGTACATACACCTCTGTATGTATGTCTGTCTGTCTGTCTGTCTGTCTGACTGACTGTCTGTCTGTCTGTCTGTCCGTCTGTCCGTCCGTCCGTCCGTCCGTCCGTCTGTCCGTCTGTCCGTCTGTCCATCTGTCCGTCTGTCCGTCTGTCCGTCTGTCCGTCTGTCCGTCTCTCCGTCTCTCCGTCTGTCCGTCTGTCCGTCTGTCCGTCTGTCGGTCTGTCGGTCTGTCCGTCCGTCCGTCCGTCCGTCCGTCGGTCGGTCGGTCGGTCGGTCAGTCAGTCAGTCTGTCTGTCTGTCTCTGTCTGTCTGTCTGTCTGTCTGTCCGTCTGTCTGTCCGTCTGTATGTATGTGTATGTGTATGTGTATGTGTGTATGTGTGTATGTGTGTATGTGTGTATGTGTATGTGTATGTGTATGTGTATATGTATATGTATATGTATATGTATATGTATATGCATGTATGTATGTATGTATGTATGTATGTTTGTATGTACGTATGTATGCATGCAAGAATGTATGTATGTATGTATGTATGCAGGAATGTATGTATCTATGTATGTATGTATGTATGTATGTTTCTCTAAAGCGGTCTTTTCCTTGCTTCAGTCGGTGTGCCTTGCCACTTGCGCTGCAGCCGCAAGTCCTCTAAAGTAGTCCACCTCTAGGATCTCGTCCTTGGTGGCTGTCTCTTCTTCTGCCGTTTCCGAGTGTCCAGAGCTGCTGCTTGGGTCTGTCACAGCCTGGATCTGGTTGTCACCGGCTTTTGGAGGCTTTGGTCCTGCTTTGAGGCTGGGTCTCATGGCCTTTGCAGGTGGCTTCAGCTGTGGTGACTCACTTGTTTGTTTTGGTGAGTGATCTTTTCCCGCTGAGAGGCTGGGTGTCATGGCCTGTGCAGGAGGATCCTCATCTTCACTCTGAGTGAGTTGTGTTGTGAAGTGGATCCTCTTTGGCGGCCTGGCGGGGTTGTTGGCTGCTTTCAGCCCTGCACTGTGAGTGGCGGCGCTCCTGTTCTGCTGTGGATTGAGCTGTGGGCTTGAAGAAAGAGTGGATCGGCGGTGATCCTTTTAGGCCCGCTCCTTTGCACTCCTTGAGGAACGTGGCGCCCCCTATCACCCTCTGTTGTCAACAGCTTCTGCCAGCTCCATTGATTCCTGCGCTGCCTCTTGTAGGTTTCCCCATGGTTGGGTGTGGGTCTCCTGCGAAAGTGCACGTGTCCATGTGAAGGCTCGCCAGGGCGCGGCGTAACACCGTGCACTCGGGTTACCCTCTGTCATGGAGAGGTTCTGCAAAACGCATTCAGTCGTGGACGCATAGGTTTGCTGCATCCTCCGCGCGGCCTGGTTTCTTGGCCTGCTGCTCTGGATGGTAGTGCTCCACCCTTGATCGAGATGACAGCTGGTCCTGGCGCCCCAAGCGTAGGTCCATCCACGCCCCGTTCAAGGCTTGTGAAGACATCAAAATCGTGTCCACTTGAGGTGGTGGCTGTTTGTGAAACATTGAGTGGCTCGTAGGTGTGCTCCCCTTCACCTGTGCCTGAGAAGTCCCATTGCGGTGCTTGAAATAAAGGGTCATGTGTGTTTGTAGGTGACTGTTCCCCTGCACCTTGACAAACATCTGACCGCCCCCTTTGCGCTGAGCCAGAAGCAGCACGGCAAACCCATATGGTGTTTGGATCATCATCAAAATCGTCCCTGGGGACGGGCACCATGATCCCTGAGTGGTCCCCTTGGAAGGTTGGGGTAGTGTTACCCACAGTGTCCTCCTGGTGGCAGCGCTGCCGGCGCCTCTGCTTTGCGTCGCTTGCTGCGCTCGTCCTCGTCGATGCTAGGCCGCTTTAGCAGGCCATGCAATTGACTGCGTTGGTCATCAGTCAAATCAATGCCCAGGCTGGAGACGAAAGTTTCTACCCCCATCGGTATTGGGAGTTCCGCCTCGGCAGTCTTGGTGAGCTCTTCTGGCATTGGGCTCTGACTTACAGCTACTGCTCGGAGAGCGCCTTCAACTCTTGCTGGCCTTCCGTCAGCTTTGTCTGGAGCTCTTGCATGTCCTGCAGCATGGAAGCGTATTGAGCCTTGATGGCATCGAGCTTGGCCTGTAACTGAGTCTTCTTGATGGAGATGGATTTGAGGTCAGTGACCTGGGTCTTCAACTTCTGCGCAATCTCCTTCTCGGTGTCTGGGATCGGCTGGGTCAGCTTGTTGACCACGTCCTGGACTGCCTTGGGTAGTGCATTGAGGTGCGTCTGCAGGACTTCAGCCAGTCCAGGTTCCTCTGGTTGGGGTGGTCCAAATCCCAAAGCTTGAAGTTTGCTTTGAATCTCTCCTGGAATGACATCCCACGTAGTGGCAAGAAGGTCAGCTGCCGTTTGCTGGTTTTTGCCCTTCTTTAGCGGCCTGAGCTTTTGGAGGCCGGGCGGCGAGTCCAGGAGTGCTTCAGCATAGGTCTTTTGGGGCCACGTGGCCTTGGTGGAAGCCTTGCTTCGTGAGCCGTGGCCCTGTCCCTTGCCTTTGCCAGTGGGTTGATGAGCATGTTGCCACCAAGTGCCACCCTTTCGACATCTTGTTCCCGGAGTCAGCCTGTCGTCCCAAATCCAGCTGGTGCAGGTGGAATTGCCACACGGAGTGTAGCTTCTGCACCAACTGGATGCCTTGCTTGGTGTCATATTTCTGGATGCTGATGTCCTCAGGGTCGTTGTTTGTGTACAGCTGGTGGGCGACGTGCTCGGCACCGGTCACGTTCTGGCCGTTGGGTTCCGCTGGAGCCTCAATGTTGAAGCCAGGCGAGAAGTGCCAGTTGCCGGAGATCTCAGCCAAAGCGTGGAAGGTGTAGACGTGAGATCACTAGAAAAGGAGTCCAGTGCCGAACAGGAGGTCCAGGGAGTTTATGGCTTGTCTTCCTGTATCCGGCTTTGTATTGGACCGGCTTGGACCACTCGTGGCTTGAGCCATGTATGTATGTATGTATGTATGTGTGTGTGTATGTATGTATGTATGTATGTACGTACGTAGGTACGTACGTAGGTACGTACGTAGGTAGGTAGGTAGGTATGTATGTATGTATGTATATATGTATATGTATATGTGTATGTGTATGTGTATGTGTATGTATGTGTATGTATGTGTATGTGTATGTGTATGTATGTGTATGTATGTGTATGTATATGTATGTGTATGTATATGTATGTGTATGTATATGTATGTATATGTATGTATATAAACACATATTATATTATAGACATATATACATACATGTATATATATATACAGTATATACACAGTATACACACATTCTGGGTCGTTGTATGTGCGATATGGTCATCTGTCACGATCGCATGTTCGCCTGTTCCATCCCTAAAAGGGACGCAGCTAACGACGAACGATCACAACTGCCCGCCTTGGACCGATGCACCACTCTGGCCACCTGCGAGGTCTAAGAGTTGATCGGTCTAACAAGGGAAAGAGGCGTTGCAGGTTTTGTTCCTAGTAGCGTCCTTGCTCCTAGTAGTAAGGCCAGGAGCCCCTGTAGGGTCCTTGCTCCCAGTAGCGATGCCAGGAGCCCCTAATAGCGTCCTTGCAGAAACAACAAAAAATCTGGTGTAAAATAATTTCATCTTTCCAAGAAGATGTGGCCACCCTTGTTTTCGGACTTGTCGCATCTTGTCACTCTCCAGGCTTTGTAATGTTTTGTCACCTCCCTTGAAAGCAAGACATGTGGATAGGGGTGTTCAACAAACTTCTTGGAGTGGTCGTCGGCGCTTAAGACCTGAGGTGTTCAACGCACTTGACACCGTTTTCAATGTGTAAAATAATGTAAGGTTTGCCGAGAAGTGGCGGAACATGACCTACAATGACCCCAAAAAGCACCCTCCTCCAGGAGGAAAGACTAGAAAGCCAAAATGGACAAACTTGGGAGTCTCTGTCTCCGGTCTCTCCTTGAGTTCAATTCAAGAAGGGTAATCTCTGTCTCTGTAGGTCTGCAGGTATCTCCTCAAACTGTAGAGACGCCACAAGTTTGAGTCAGCGGTTGTGCTCCCCTCGATGGGTCGTTTGCACTCTTCAGCGGAGGTGTATGGAACTGCCTGGGGACTATTAAAAATGATCCCAAGCCCAGTGCTGTTCATCAATCCTTCCAAATCCTTCCTATTCAACCATCGTAGAGAATCTAAAGTCTTGTCGCTTCCTTTGGACATACAGTCCCTCACAGGCACACGATCTGCCTTAGAGGGACTCTTGACGGTGGCGGTGCTCTGTGCATCATCCTCCGAGTCCTGACTCGACCGACAGCGAAGCTCCAAGGTGGAGGAGACGTCTGTGAGACTCTGGTCACGCTGCTTGAACCAATCATATCATCCAAATTCCCAGAAAAGAAACCAAAAGCAATCGTCAAAGTGAGGTGTGATCGATGGCCCTTGATGACCAGCCCAGCCAAGATGCTGTTTGCTGGAGACGTAAAACGAACACGTGGAGAATGGCCCACTTGGATGAAGAACAGCTCCACGTTCCAAGCGGCAATCCCTTTTGGATGAATACTCCCCGGGTCGGGTGTCATGGAAAGCTGTTGCCACAAGTGGCTGGTCCCCATAGACATCTGTCTCTGCATGCGTACATTGCATTACATTACACTACATTACATTACATTACACTACATTACATTACATTACCATACATACCCAACATACCCGACATACCCGACATACATACATACATACAGACATAAATACATACATACATACAATACCATACCATACCATACCATACCATACCATACCATACCATACCATACCATACCATACATACCATACATACATAAACATATACATATACATATACAAATACATATACACATACATACATACATACATACATACATACAAACATACATACATACATACAGACAGACAGACAGACAGACAGACAGACAGACAGACACACAGACAGACAGACAGACAGACATACATACAGTATCATGTTACATAATGTATTCTATGTTATTACAATAATGTGTTTTATACAAGCAAAAGTAATACAAGTACAATATATAATAGTGAATTTCACCAAATGAAAAAGTATATAATATAATACAATACAATAGAATATAGCACAATTTATCATTATATAGATATAGTTATCTAATATGTTTGATCATGTGTCACAGTTTTCAATATTCTGTATGTTATTACTTGATATGTGGTGTGCATGTTCGTACAGTGTCATTCAAAACATCTCAAAACTGAATTGAAGAGTTCGGCCCTTCGTTCGGCTTTTGCCGACTTCCTCCTCCGGCTCCCTCTCTGCCATCGCCGGAGGTGGCGCAGGAGGCAGTGTTTCCAGTTTCTCCTGTAGATCTGCGGAGGAAAATACTGGAACAACGCACAAGCAACTTCAAGCATTAATGAGTGACGAGCCAGCTTGCACAATTATATAACTGTGTGCTGTGAACCCGCTGGGTTGACGAGATGCTGTGTGCATGTGTGTTGAGGCATGTGCACGTGATTGTCAAGGGCTTGGCATGGATTACCGGGAACTTCGGACAACTAAAGCTCTGAATGAACTCCGGTGCATCAAGCCTGAGAAATCGCTTGCCACGTTGGATCTTTGGTCTTTCGACGCAGTCGTCTGAGCGGGAAGGACTCCTCGGCGCAACGACTGTCAGCGACTATCGCGGTCGGCACCTTGATCTTCAGAAGCTGACCGGTTCAGAAGTCACCGTTCCTTGCGGCTGGAGGGTGTTCGTTCCATCGCCATTAATATAAGTGGTTGTCGCCATTATGTTGGGGTCCGCCCGAAAATGGAAACGTCCAAAACAGCGAGCCCAAAATAGGGCGCGATTTCACGAAAGCCCTCGGTCGATCCCGGCACCTTCAAAGCCCGCTTCTGCCGACTCTTCTCCTGAGTGTACAAGCTACTGGCTACGGCCACCCCTCCCACAACATGGCAACGCTATCTTTGGCACCTATCCTACATTGTATAATGGATTTCAAGTCCAATCATTCGAGATTGTGCATAGCCAGTTGTAGCTGTTTCCTTTGGAATCACATGTGTCATGATGTATATAGCGACATCACGGTTAGAGCCGGATTCGGAAACTAATCGGTCGGATTCTGAAACTAGGGTTCTGAAACTGGGATTCTGAAACTAAGGTTCTGAAACTTGGGTTCTGAAACTGGTATTCTGAAACTGGGGTTCTGAAACTAACTGGGATTCTGAAACTGGGATTCTGAAACTTGTATTCTGAGACTGGAAAGTCAGATTCTGCAACTGGTATTCTGAAAATGTGATTCTGAAACTTGTATTCTGAGACTGGAAAGTCAGATTCTGCAACTGGTATTCTGAAACTGGGATTCTGAAGCTGGAAAGTCAGATTCTGCAACTGACATTCTGAAACTGGTATTCTGCAACTGGTGATCTCCACATTCTCCACATCATGCGATAGCGTGTGCCTGTGACTTCATCTTCGAAGCGCATCCAAACCAACGTCATTAGCCCCCCATCCAACCCCCCCCCCCCCCCCAAGCCCCCCTTGTCCCCATCGTGTGATCTCGACATCACGCCAACCCCCTCACATCATTCACAAAAGTTGTGGAATCTTAGTGAGGGAATCCACAATTTTGCGGAATCCTAGTTGCGGAACGCCAGTTGCGGAATCCCAGTTGCAGAATCCTAGTTGCGGAATCCTGACAGTTGCGGAGTTGCGGAATCCTAGTTTCGGAATTCTAGTTGCGGAATCCTAGTTGCGGAATCCCAGTTGCGGAATCCTAGTTTCAGAATCCTAGTTACGGAATCCCAGTTGCGGAATCCGACCAAATAGTTGCGGAATCCTATTTGCGGAATCCTGCGCAGTTGCGGAACTCCACTTTATCCGTGACATCACTCCTCCTACATCTTTCAGCCACTTACCCAACTTGGGCTTCTCGCAGGACCACATACCCAAAGTATACAACTCCCAAAACAACTACTGACAAGTCAAGTCATGGAAGCTGTCCTCGTGTTTCTTCTCATTTGGAATGTCCTCTGCTTTCTTCTCCTTCGTGTCATTTAGTGTCTCTTCTGCCTCTGCCTTTACTTCCTTCTTCGATTCCATCTGCGCCTTGACCTTCTCAACATTCACCTTCTTGAGCTCGATCTGACACAATCGGACTTCGAAAGCCTGGCTTTCTCGCGATGCCAAGGTGATCCGATCTCCATCACCTTGTCAGAACGCGGTCGACGGGGCCTTGTCGAACTGGTCCCGATGGATGAAACAACTTGACATCTGCGACACGCCGTGGATAGAATGTCTGTGTGTGTGTGTGTCATGAGTCATGGGTTTGAGTCAAGGGAACCGCCCACACATGAAATGATCTATTCCTCGCCAAAGCTATGGGCTTCAAGCAACCTGGATTACTTCCCACTTACCCATCTACCACTCCACTCCACCAACTGAAGGCCTCAAGACCAGCTCGCCAAGTAGCTCAGTCCAAGCTCTTCCCCGCTCTTCAAGTGAACGCCATTCACAAAGGTGCCATTGCTGGATAAATCACGAAGCACCAAGGAGTCAATCCTGGGAGGTGTGGGGGCATGTTTGTTCACGCTTCCAGAGTAGGCATTCTATAGGACAGCCGCTTAACTGATGACTCTTCGACAATTCTTCCTAGCTGGTGTGCTTGTACAACGCAAAGCCGAGCATCTTGCTTCCTGTCAAAGACGTGATGATACAATGCCTTTTGCTCACAGCCAGGTCGTCAATGCAAATGTCGCAGCTGTTGTGTCGGCCCATCGTCAAGCTGCTTCCGCGAGGGACCAAAGCCAGGCGAGTGTCATGGTCGAGGATCTCCCAACGAGAAACCAATTCAACGCTCGGCTCCTCTACAACTGCAGGTGCATCATTATAAGAAGCTCTATTCTCAAAGCAGCGCCTGGTGGTCGTTCAATGTTGTGAGTGAGAATGGGATGGCTGTTGTCAAGTCATTTTTTAGAAAGACAATGAAACACATTAAGCTGAGTCTGGTGCCACAAGTTGAGGCCAGGCTGTGATAATGTAGGATAAATAAGGGTTGTAGATGGTTGTAGTATGTTGTAGTTGCAGCTCAGTAAGGTATTGTAGACTCTAGACATCCCTAGACAATGTTTATCGATCAAACATAATCGCTTATCCCTCTGTCACTCATTTGACTCATTTCCCTGTCTGAGAGCTCCTCCCATTCTTCTGGGTCCTCCTTCGGTCCCACTGGTTCTGGCTTGGACTTGGTGGCAGAAGCTTCTGGCTTCGGCTCAGGCTTCTGCCAGTAGCCAATCCCTCGACTTGGAATATATGACGACTTCTTGGAAAGTGAGACTCCAGGATTTGGCATTGACAACCCCAGAGCAGCTAGGTCATGTCGGAAGTCGGCCGCTTTGTCCAGCGCTTCCTGGGCAAATTCCCTGCCAAGCCCCACGGAGACACGACCTGGAGTGTAAATCTCTTCCAAGAGCATGGCCACAGACTTTGCAGTTGTCGCAGGCGACCATTCTCGAAGCAAAGATCGAGTCGCGTCTCGCAGCATCTCGGCACGTTCGCCAGCCCAACTGAAACAAGGTCCTCCACCAGCCGCAGCCAGAATGGCCGCCCCTAGAGCATCAGCCAATCCTTTCACCTGCGCCTGTGGGGCGGACAACATGGCAGCAGCCACAGACCTGATGACGTACAACTGCAGCTGGGCAACCTCGCAGCCTTCTGCTGCCAAGCTGTCCTTGGCTCGGCCCAAACGAACCTGCACCAAGCGCACCGCACGCGAAGCCGTGGCCGATCGGGTCGAGCCACCAGCACCACTCATGTAGAGTCGTGCGGCCAAGAAAGCTTCCATGGCCTGGACCAGCAACGCAGCGTGCCCGGCCGAGATCAGCGGTAAGGTGGCAAAGAAGCGAAGCAAACGGGTGCACAGCACCGCTCGGCGAGTGTGCAAACGAACACTACCGAGATCATCTCGGTGGACGAGATCTCCTTCCTCTGCCGGAGAGACTTCCATCTGGCCCAGGGACGTATAGGCCTTGTCAGGGAAGCAAACACGGAAAGAATGGGAACGCTTGGAGCATGCTGGTGATGTTGCAGCATGAGCAACCAACTAAGCTGCCGGCCTCTTCGATTCGCCTTCGTTTGGTTGGTCTCTGAAGCTGGAGCTTGCCATCATTCTCGTTCGATGGAAACCGGGAGCAGCAAACCTTCCGGCACTGACACATCCCACACCATCGCAAAAACTGAAGAGAAGGAACATCATCATTGGAATGTCTTTAAAAATAATAGAAGAACAACAAACAAATGCCTCTAGTAACTCTAGTAAACCTCTGCACCAGCTGCACACAAATGTGAAGGATTTATCTGGTAATTGGCAAAATGTAATCAATATAACAAACCTAAATCGTTGTCTTTCATGATAAAAAAATCTCCATTTGCTCCCGCCGGATCCCGCCGACTCCCGCCTCCAGCGCTTTCCCCAAAAGCCATGCACCAGCCGCACCCTCCAAGGACCCTCGCAAGGCCACGCAGCAAATCCGGTCCTCGTATGAACCGCAAGTTTGATCAATCAAAATTCCCATCTATCATCTGCTGGGTTTCGAGGAAAGGGTGGAGTCCAAGAGGAATGGAAATCTGCTCACGAAAAAACCTGAACTTGAACCAATATAAAACCAAAGCAAGAAAGACTGCTGTGGTCATCTACATGTCAAGCATTCCGGGACAAAGAAGTCTTGTGAGTGAGAAGTTGAGTACTAAAACCGGTGGAAAGAAGAGAGAAAGGACAATGGTTCTTTGAGTGAACAGGCATGAAGGCCCCATGGCCCCATACCGCCTGGTTTCTTACATTGCCTTCGTCCTCTTCCTCAACCCACAAAAAGTGCACCTAACAGCCTGCATTCCAAGCTATGATCTTGCAGTGTTTACAGTATATATGCATCTGTATATACAACATATGTGTATGTATATAAATAATACAGTATATTTTTCAGTATGCTACACCCCCCCCAAGACCGACGTGTTCATTTGCCATGCACAAACTTTGTAGTCAAATGGCCCTTGTGCGTTGTGCAGAAGTGAAAGGGTGGATAAGAAACCAAGGCAGCGAATGGAGCACACACAGAGGTTTGTGTGGGGGTAAAGGAATGAAGGCAGCAAATGGAGAACACAGAGATGTGCGTGCCAGAGATAAACATGACGGCACTCTGAAGTGACTTTTTGCAGAAGGGCGCCATAGAGTCATAGAGTCAATAACTTATATAGAAGACAAAAGCAAGTGTGCCTCGCTTGCTCATTTGCTGAAATCCATTGAAAGTATTGCACCTTGCTGTTATATAATGTGCTTTGAAGCGCTTTAAAGCATTGAGCAAAAATCCCCATTCAAGTGTAGCTGCATGATATATATGCATTCAAATGCAAATGCATGATCAGATCAGATGTACCATGTATTGATTCAACTGCAAATGTATGCAAAATTGTCGGTCCTGGAGCACTGGGGGAGGGGGTACCATGTGTGAGTGTATATATATATATAGTATATATGCAAAAAGGTCTCGAGTGTAGCAAGTGTCCGGGCGTAAACAAACATGGAAACTGTGAGGCTGGGCTGAGAAACAATTCGTGTCTGCAAAGTGTTGCCTTCCTACCTGAGCGTCCATAATTTGCTTCCAGAGTGTCCCAAAGTGCAGCTCGCAAATGATGAAGTGCTTTCCGCCCAGGCTTCGCGTTCTTTTCCTCCAACGAGATCAAGAGCCTGTCGTGGCACAAGGGTCAAACGCAACAGATCAATCAAAAAGCCCTTCTGCCTTTAGGAGCCAAAGTTTCTCTGCGAATCTGTGAGAAGCACACTTGGATACAGTTGGTTTAAATGTCATATGACTCTGGAGTTACATCTCAGGCCCCACCTGGCCAACGCAAGGCAGGCTTGCTCTCGCTTTGGCTCCAGAGCAGATGGATATAGCAAGAGCACGTCACAAATGAAGTGTACTGAAAGCTCCTCTGATGTCAATTGTTCGGTCTGAAGTGGTTCCAAGTTCAAACCTGAAACTGCGTGTTTGTCGCGCATTTGCAAATCCCAGTTGAGGATAAATGTTCACCCAACCCCATTTCTTCCATTTCCAGGATCCGCGAGGCCCAAAACATTCGACCATTCACCCCCTACAGCATGCATAATACAACATGCATGAGCTGCATAAGGCATCATAAGACATAACTTCACAAACAGTCTTTGTCTTCACAGAAGGTGGCGCTTTGTTGCCATTAGAACCAACAGGGTGTCGTCCGCGGACGCCCGCGGAACGTCCGCTCCGCCAGTCGAAGGGAAGCCAACTCTCCAAGCTCGGACTGTGCCTGCGAGGTCGACGTCGCTACCACGATCCGGGCATGACGTGTGTATCGCGGGCTCTCCCCACCTCTTTAGCTGGCATGAGCGGCATTTTTGGGGGGTCAAAGCCAACATTAGCCAACTATAGCCAGAAAGGAAAAAAGAAAAGACTGCGGATGTGGCACATGGCCCTAGTTTCTAGCTATGCCGCAGCATATGGCATATACCCACTACTGACATGGGAAAGCATGTTTGAATGATCAAAAGAACGAAATGGTCAGCTTCGCTTCATCCCGGCCGGGCATTGTCCCAAACGACGACAGCCCACATCCCAGCCCGAGCTGCGTCCACCTCCAAAAGGCCCCGAAAGAAGTCCCAGTGCGCCAAGGCGTGCTCCTTGCACCCGTCGCGTGGAAGTTGGCGGAATTCCGGTGGAAGTGTGTCGACAGAAACGAGTTTGTCGACAGAAATGACGGGAAAGTGTCCAACTGTCGGTTTTGTATTTGCCTTCACTGAAACAGGCACAAAACCCGTAAAACCCGTGCGTCCTGGCTCTTGGATGCATAAATGGCGATTCCATGGATCGCAGCCACCTGCCGCATGCCGGGATCATGAAAGCAGGAGAGGGAGTGCAAATTGGAAAAACACTAGGGCGTAGATGCCTCCGACAAAGGTAGACAGCTAGTTTCCTCCGGCCTGGTTGTTCAAGGGCTGCTTGCTTTGCACGACAGGCAGCAAGACCTGCACATCAACGAAGCAAAATAGGAAGCTTACTCGACGGACCCGACCGGTGCGTGCGATGGAAAGCCGACTCGTCTAAACTACTTGTCCGGCCATGTCCAGCAGCTGGCTTTGCTTGGAGTCTCGCTGCAGCGGGCAGCGGCCTCCAAGGAATAAGAAGTTTTCACGCAGCCACGCAAAGAAGCTACTAGTAGCAAGTGCATCGGTATTAGGAACAAGGTGCATTGCTACTAGTCTTCTTCAAACAGAACCGACGGGAACGAAGATAGTGTGATTGAGCTGTCAGTCAGTCCATTGATTTGACCAGCCAACTAACCCAACAGAAACAAAACAACTGCCACAAGTGGTTTTCCCACTGATTCACTGGTTCTTGGTAGCGAACACAAAGCTGAAGGGACATCCTCTCAGTACCCTGCTGTAACGCAGCCAGCCGGTGGCCAACAGCAGCGCACGAAGGCAGCAGTGGTTTCGCTGTTCACGTGCCGCCTCGCCGAGAAACTCTGCTGCAATCCGCCCAAGGGTTGATCGAGTCAAAAATCAAAATTGAAAGGCCCAGGCTCATGTCGTGCGTTCAAAGTTCAAACCAAAGCATGTCGGTCCAAAGTCCTGTACTGAGAATGACCTGCGAAGATGTCCTCTACGAAATGATCAATGGCTACTTGAGAGACAGGATCGACCTCCATCTACACCAAAACAGCCAAGACTTTCAACTGAACTCTACTCTGAGCATTTGAGACGTTGAGAGGCCTCCATATTTGGGGAACCTCCTTATGATGTATGATGGGGTGTTACAATTGATGCCGCACCTCTATCTCTGCATGCTTCTCCTCTAGTGCCTGCGCAAAATATGGTCTGTCATGAAAACGCCGCTAAGAACCCCGTTGAACACAAGCCCCAAAGAATCTCGCAGTGGCATCTCAACCTCTTGGCCTGCTGAACTCTCGCAAGAAGAAAGAAAACATTCTTTCATAGAGTCAACTTCCTCTGGCCGATGGCCTTCTCGTTCTTGGACTCACAGTCCAAAGCCTTTTGGGCAAAGCTCGCCTGGAGGCGGCTGTGACTTGTTGTTAGGTCACTGGCGGTCGTTCCAGCCTGCGCCCAGCGCCTGTCTTCGAGATCCTGACCAAGACCAAGTCTGATTGTTTCATCCTAGGACAATACACATAGATGACTGATGGGCACCCCCCACCACCAGGAAACACCTGGCACGACAAGGGTTTGGGGGCTGGAAGCCCTGACACCGGACACCTGAAAATCCATGTCCAGGAAGCCTGCAAAGAAGTCGATCTCCAACATTCTCCAAAAACGCCCTGCAGTCTTTGTGGCACTGGATTGAGGCCCATTGAAAGCAGAGCAAGAGAGACCTCCAAGCCCTCAGATGCAACCATAGCAAAAAGAAAGAAAAAACCACTTGATCACAGGTCCTCAAAGACCCCAGCATGAATAGATACAACAAGTCCATCTAACCTAGGGAAGGCAGTAAGCTCTGTCGCATTCAACTCACGGTCGCTCTCCTGCCGAATTTGCTCCACCTCATCCTCTCTTTCAAGAAGCACCTGTTCTGCCTCATCTTGCACCTCACGTGGCAAGTGGGAGAGGAAGGAAATGGCTCCAAAATCGTACCGAATGCCAGAAATCTAATGTTCTACCACGTTGTCCAATGATAAAAATGACACGGGCGACTTGCAGATCAATGCATGTCAATACTGCCCAGAGCCGGAAAGCAACCTTTCCGTTTCAACCTCATGGGTCAAATGGGAAATCAGAGTCGAAGTCCCGCATGTGTCCAACCTGCTTCAAGCTGTGGAAAATGGCAGCTGCAAAGTTGGAGAACCTGGCTGGTCCAACAAAATCCAGAGCCCCCTTCCTGTCGGCAGCATGGCCTAGAAGTGCATTGAAGAACACTGGTGCCACTGCAAACACAAACAGAAAAGTTCTATGATTCAGAAAGATAGAAAGTCTTGTTGTTAGCCTTTTCACTCAAACGCTAATGATGAACATGTATATAGACAAAACTTAGTATATCTATATATATATATTATATATATATACTTGGACTTGGGTCTGCTCTCCGCACCAATCAGGCCAGTCTTTCCAAACCTCAGTAACAGCTGCCGCCTGGAAAAAAAGACTCTTCCGGGAACATGACATCGGAAAATTGCGACAAAGATCCATCACGTCATCATGTCCATGCCGTCAACGTGTTTGAACTACACATATATAGATGGGAATAGTTTGCTTGTCTATAGTCATGATCATGTTATATACATGATATACATATTATACAAGTACACACAAACTCTCCTTGTACCATCTTTCTCGTTCCATGCGGCTGCACCTGCTTTCCTTCTGCAGAAGCAGCACCCTCGGCTGCCACCTCCGTCGCAAGGAAACCCTGGCCTGCAACTCCACTTTGCTCAGGCCTGTATTGTCACCTTTCACTCATACGCAAAAGCAAAAACAATGCTTGCACGTCAATAGGAGTATATATATATATATAATATACATACATCCTTGACCAAAGAACCATGTGTTTTCCTCTACTAGCTAGCTGTGGAGCAACAAGGCAGGAGCCCAGGGTTTGTTTGACTTGCCCTGTGCCAATCTGGGAGCTCCCGCACGCCGCAGGAGAAGGATGGCCTCACCAGCCCAAGCAAAGTCATCCCAAGACATGTCTCTAGTTCGCATCCGGCCCCTTTCAAATGTGCAAAAGCGTGAGAAATGTCAGATTTGCTGATCCTGTTGCCATCTTACATGCAAGGACTCTACTAGGGGCTCCTGGCCTTACTACTAGGAACAAGAAGCTATATAGGGGCTCCTGGCATCGCTACTAGGAAGCTATTGGACGCTATTAGGGAGAAGCTAATAGACGCTATTAGGGTGTCAAAGTCTCAAAGCTCAAATGACTCCCGCCAGCTCGAAGCTCGGTCGTTCTCGCGGCCACTCGTCTCCCAGGAGGCTTCCCCTGGACTGGGTGCTCTGAACCCAAACGACGGCGGCTGTTCTTGTCAATTGAATTCAATTGAACAGGCTATGAATAGCCTCGCCAGCTCCAAAGAGCTGTCAGAGCTGTCTCTGTTCGTTGAGGAAAAGCCGTGATTTATGCGAAAACTACGCCTGTTCATTGTGCACTGCCCTGTTCGATCGATCGAAAATGACCGCCAGGCCACGGGAATACACCATCTTCAAGAAGCGCTGTGCTCGCGAAGTCCACCGACGAGACCTGAGGCTCTGACGAGAGATGCACCAAAAGCACCCAAGAGGGTGCGAGGGGGGGTAGGACGCTACTAGGAACAAGTGCATCGCTAGTAGTAACAAGTGCCTTACTAGTAGTAACAATGTTTGCTATTAGATTACTAGCAAACGTTGTTACTACTAGTAAGGCACTTGTTACTACTAGCGATGCACTTGTTTCTAATAGCTTTTTGTTAAGTATGGAACGCTGAATGTACCGGGATCCAACAGGCGGTTTTGGTGAACCTTCAGAGGTTGATGAGTCAGAAGACACCTTTAGAGACATTCGTTATATGAAGACCAGAGGACAAATAGAATATCATTGAGCCACTGAGCGTGAGAGGTTGGATGTGAGAAATAGGCGAGTGCCGCTCATTAAGCTGCTTAACTAAAGAATTTGCCAATAGAAAAGGGTTGATGAGGGCTACTTGTCAAATCTTAGATACTAAGGCAAGCCTCGGCAAGCCACAAGAAAACCCGGACGAAGGGGAAAAGGATTATACTGTACTATCCGTCGGCTAGGGAAAAGATTTAGAAAGTCAAAGACGAAGCAAACCTCCAGTTCCAAAACAATGCAAACTCCACCTAGATGACGCTAGCTGCTGCAGTGTCCGACAATCACACATTGGATCAAAATGCACCGTAATAAGAAAGTGTGTCCTACATAGTACTACACGGTCCAAGAACAAAGAAAGGCAGGCTGAGAAAGGTGAATCTACTTGCAAGATTGTACCCCATTCTCAGTCCTGCCAAATCCACATGCATGTGGCCAGATGCAAAAACAGTGAGTGGACTACCCAAAACTTACCACTAGGAACAAGAAGCTACTAGGGGCTCCTGGCATCGCTACTAGGAGCAAGGACGCTACTAGGTGGGTGGTGGCTCGTGCAGGGACACTGGTCGCCCACCTGGAGTGCCGCTCCAGCAGCATGTGCTAAGGCGTGACCTTGCGCACTGTCGTGAAGGAAGAGCATTTTGAGAGAAGCATCTCATCGAACTTGGGGAGGGTACACAACCCAGGGGTTCATCACTCTGTCCTCTCATCAAAGGGATGTCTTTCAAAGCAACCTTTCAGAATGTGTCCCAGGGAGTCCACAGGTTGTTCATGCGTCACTCACTTCTGTAGAATCTGTGCACCACACAAAATAGCTTTAAAAGCAGCTAAACATCTACAGCCACGTCGACGAACTGTTCACGGCATCTTCACTGGGTCAACCCACGACCAGGTGAAGCGGGAGGCATCTGACAGACCTCTGTAACAGAGGCGCTGCTTGGTCTGTGGAGCCGACCGCAATGACATAGGTTGGTCCAAAGTGACGTACAACTGACGGTCTCTTGAAACCATCAATCAAGGCGCTACTAGGGGCTGGCATCGCCACGAGGAGCAAAAAGCTACTAGGGGCTCCTGGCCTTGCTACTAAGGTGGAAAGGGTGGGTCCATCTGTGCAACCATGGGAGAAGTCTTGTGCTTTGGTCTGCCTCGGTCTGCCTCGGTCTACGGGAGATGCTTGATGTGCTGTAGGTGCTGTACATGCCATTGAAAAACAAAGCATAGAAATGGGGTTAGCGGTTAGCCTTCTAGAAACATGCACAACATTACATGCTTGAAATACAAGTACCACGTTGAAACCGAGGGCTTCCCTGGCAAACCGACCATGCAGCATGAACCGTCCAACCTGTTTCGGCCGGCCCTTGCGCACCAAGAACACCGCCATCGGCCCTTGGGGCCCCACGAGAGCACAGTTCAACCACTGGCAGAGCTTGAAGTGCACCTTAGCCATGTGCAGGGTGACGACAAGAGCTGCAGGAGTCCAAGTTTGCTGGTGGGAAACCCCAGGTGGGGAGGGGGAATGAAGGGTTTCCCAGAGACGTGAGATTTTGATGTATTGACTTTATTGACCCCAAGCATGAGAAGCATTGACTACTACCTCATGTGCAATGCATAAATTCCTAGACCTCATGGATCCTTGGAAGGTGAAGGCGCTGTGCCCCGGATTGCCGTTTCACCTTGCCCCCAAAACTAACGCATAGAACAACTGGTAAAAACAAGTCCTGTGCTGTCGAAGGCTCATAGAGTCCATAGGTGGGAGCCAATTCAGACCCATGTCGGCAGTGGCTTCAATGCACACACCCAGCAAATGTCCACTGAAATCCCGAAAAGTGGGAGGAGGGTTACGTCTCCAGTAAGCTGTAGCGGTCCGAAATGGCGAGCGATGTTGAATGATTGGGTCCGGTCCAATGATTATCTTCTAAGCCTCTATGCGGGGTGACTTTTCTATAAATGTTGGAACATAGAATCTTCCAACTGTTGGAAGATTCTATGTTCAATAATCTATATATACGGGGCGGACTCACTGTAACAGGGTGTTCATTTTCCAAACGATTGCACCCACAAGCCCGGCAACACTGTCGGCACCTGTGCAAGGTGTTCCGGATTGCAGCCTGGATGCCAAAGCGCCAAAGAATAGCAAATGGTCTAAAACAAGAACGGGGGGGGAACCGGGGGAACTCGGTTCCGTTTTATATACTGTGTATATATATAGTTATATATATATATAGCATGATATATATATATATACATAATTATATATCTATACATGCCGCAAGACTGCGAGAATCTAGGTCCTACAAGCATGAGGTGCTAAGCTTTGGGCCTTGGATCACTGGATACGTTCATGTGCTGTGCGGCGGGGGTCAGACGTGAACCGAACTCGTCATCCTGTGTCTGTGGTTTCAGCTCCCGGCTTCGAGTGGAGAGTCCCCCCTTGTCGATAAGCCCCGGCGCTCAACAGCGCCGGGGTCCTCTCCTGCCTTGCAACATGCTCATGCAGTCTTGCATCTCAGCCACCTGACCAGCCGACAAGTCGATCCAAAAATGGCTTTGAATCCCCGAACAACCACCGTTCGGGCGGGAGATGGACTGAAAATAGACCCCCAGCAGTTCTGTTTCAGGCCTTTCAAGCATCAACATCTTCAAGGAAATCCAGACTAAACAATGGGCTCGTCTCATTCATCTCCAAAGGTTTGAAAGAATGGCGTGCAAACACCCTCTGCAGGTTGCAACAATTCCGTTGTCGGAGGGTTTCAGGAAGCCAAAAGCACTCACGGCCAATTCCACATGATCATCTTACTGTAAGTGATCTTATATAATTAACACTTCGGTACCTCTTGGTCCTTTCCAACTCAGCTGGTTGGCCCACCATGTGCCCTGCATTGGGAGCATCGCCCAGCAAGGTCCCCAGGGTCACGGTGATACGCGCCCACAGCACTTGTCCCTGGGCGAAACGAGTTTTTTTTCTGGCGGAGGGAAATTACATGACCATTTGAACCATTTCTGTGGTCTGATGAGCAGTGTGAATCTGCCTGCTATTGTCAGGACTGTCAGGAGGGCTACGACGCCGTCCCGACGTGCAACTTTCCAAAAGGAACACGCCTCGAAGCTAGTTGCTACCGATGTTCTTACTAAGTGCATTGCCAGGTCGCAAGGACAGCACAATATTGCTTCAGCACATATCATCAATATCCTTTCTCTTCCATGTGCTACGTCTTGGCACTTTGCATGGCCGGTTGCGATCTTCCGTGCGACCTAACAGCCAACTCCAGGCTTTCTGGCCATCGTGGCATCCGGAGAAGAGGCGATCTCAATGCTCTTGACCTTGAGCTGTGGATTCGTCAGAGGAAGTTCCACTTGCATGTAGGTGATTGTCGAGATGTATGCTTAGGATTCATCCCATGGTTGACATTCCAACTTGAGCAAGCGTTTAAAACGTAAGTTGATGGCAAGCGAGATTGCAAGCGCATGGGAACTTCAGACTTTGTGTGTGTCACTTGCGTGAGCACAATTTTGACCGCTGCCACGGCTGCCTCCAACCCCAGCGGCACACAGACCGCCCACCAATCCCCAATCCCAGACCAGAGCTCCAGGCTGGATCGAAGCAATGCAAAAGCTGCCGCAAAGCACGAGATGAGGAGCCCTCCTGCCATTGCACAAGCGGAGATCCACACTTGATATAGGCTGCAAGAAATCCTGTAATACTGTCGGTTATCGGTCAAGTCCAAATCCTGCAAAACCAACAGTTAATATGACATCATCAAGATAGTCTACAAAATGTGTCAAAACACTTGTCGAATTTGTCAAGACAGGGTTTCTCTGCAACCAAAACTTGCAAGGCGGCCCGAGCCTCTATTTCCTCAAAGAGCCCGTTCGGCTGGTTCACCACGGCCACGATGCCATTGACCATTCGCATAGTTGATCCTCTGGTGACCCGAGGTGCCGCTATCCCAGTTCAGATTGACCAAATCAGCGCTAACCTTTCCTTCCATCCAGGCACATGTGCATTGTGTATACGCCAAGCATGCATTACTTTAAACATCTGTCCACGTCCACAGGTCTTCTTCCCCGAAACATGTCTTCCTGCAGTGAGCTCTGCGTCGTCCAGCAATAAGGCCCTGGAGGGGGACTTGTAGCGTTCACCAAGCTGATGCTGGAAACGAACAGAACATGATGCACGAAGCACTGAAAACGGTCACCTGATGCAGCTATTAGTGTCACTTGGGGAAGGTTTCCTAGCACCAATTGCTGTAGTATTGTCTCCTACTGTCGTACATCGAGTCTTGACACCGCAACCATGGCCGCAATCATCTTGGCCGTTGACAGAAATGTTTCCCTTACTTGCTAGGTTTCTCAACGGCCTGGGAACGTGTCAAGCATTGGCGGTAAAACTGCGTGGGAAACACCAAATGATCAAACGCTTTCGGCCTGTCTCCGAGCTGCTGCACATCAGCTACAAAGCATCGCCTGAAGTCACGGTCGGACCTTTGCAGAACCTCCAACAGAAAAGTTTGAAAGATTGACATCCTGTTGTCAGTTTGATTAAGCTAACATAGCTGCTGACTTTCCCGACTTCACCATTCCGCCACGCCCTGGTCTTCGAGTTTCTGGCACAGCGGCCAGCCGCACAGAACGAACACGATCCTCGTGTACAGCGGCCATGTCCCGTCGTGTCCCTCATGCCCTCGACTGTGGTGGTCCCAACAGCCCAACCATAAGGCTCCATAATGGAATGAAGCCCTGCAAAAACAATCGCAATTACTTTACCTCAAGCGATCTCCACCCTGAGAGGTTGCTTGGAAGAAGGCAAGTGAAGTGAAAGTAGGCATCAGGATCTCCATGAGGGAAGTCGCGGTCCGTCCTCGACCTCGTTGTGGCGCAAACTACTGCATTGGCTAAACCAAAGCATGCAACCTACACAACACGTCGGTTCTGACCCAAGAACACGTTTTGAGTTCACAGCCCGTTCTCCCGAGTCTTGTTGGACATAAGTCTCACAGGCAAGTGCGGCAGGATCGAGTCGCACCCAGTTTCTCGTTTTGGGACCGAAGCGAACTTAGCACGACACCTTTGATATAAGCGGAGACGATCCCGGTGCGAAAAACGTTGTATCAAAGAAGCGACCATGCCACAGGAAGCGCCACTTTCCGGCATTCTCTCTAGCATCTGGCATACCCTGTCACATTCAAACTGGGGGCCTGCCACGCAGACCCTTATTGCATCGACCTTTGGGGAGGTACTATGTGCGCCGACATAACGCGGGCCAAATACCATAGTCCGACGCCGGTGAAGATTGAAAATTAGTTTTTTAGCCGTTCTAATCGGAGTCGTACCGAATTTTTTGGGTTCTCAGCGCTTGGCCGCTCACACCTCATCATTGCCGCCATGCCACGGCCGATTCTCTTTGTATCCCACTTGCGTTGCCATTCAGTGCGGGACCTGCGCAAAACGGGCAGAGCTCGTTCCCAACGAAGCTGTGCAAGCGTCATCCGGGCCCAGATGAGCTTAGCCTTGTAGTAGGCTGTGAGGCTGGGCGGGAAATCCACGGCGTGCTCTTCAACGGCTTGCTGCAACTCGAGGTCAATGCCCGGACCGGTCTTCTCATGAGTGGCCCTCTTTCTCAACCGGCGCAGCTTCACCTCATTTCCGGCTGCATCGTGCCCCCAACACACAAAATGGTGGGCCAAAAAAGAAAGTAAAAGCCGAAAACTGTGCTATTGCTTTATTGAAGAAAGTTTGTTGCTGGGGTGCAGAAAGACGGGCTGGGCACAAAAAAATCCCAGTTGGCTCAAGCCCGGGGAAAAAGAAAAGCAAAACACAAAGCCCAAGACCAAACTTGAAGTCCAGGCAGAAATTGCTCGTCTATGTCAGTGTGCTTTATAACTCTACTTCTAACCGTGAAAAATCTTGAAAACGTATACAGTATATAGGCATGGCTTCCTTTCTGGCATTGTGTTTGGCATATCTTCTGACACTCTTTCTGGCATTCAATCTGGAATATTTATTGAAATTCTTTCTGGCATCGGGTCCGCGTGCCCAGACTGAGCTTGAGCATCCTAGAGTGTTCGGGTACGTGTGTGTGTGTGTGCCCAGACCGAGCTGGAATTTGTATAGAATTCGAGACTGAGCTGGAGCTCCTATCATGATCATCCATGCCGTGGAGCTGGCGGAGGACAGGAGCGGAGGAAAGGAGGAATGGCATCTTTCATAGAATCTAGAGACCCTCACCTGTCAGGTCCGGGAAGAAAGAGGCAAACGGTAAACTAGTCATAATGTAAACTACTGCAACTGAAGAGGGTAAACCATGAAACCCTGCAAACGAATGCAAACTACACTGTTTGATACTGTTTGATACCCTGGTAGTGATCATCGACGTTTGACTGCTAAGTACGTGTCACCATGGCCCATGGCCTTAGACATCTCGATTCCAACTCCACGCCGTGGTTTCTCGCGCACCGACATGTTCTAATCCCCACCAAAACACCCCATGCGTTACCACGCGTCAGCGCCTCCAATCCACGCAAGACTGCCTCCCGCCAGGCAGTTTGCAAGGAAGCTCGCCCTCGCAAGGAACCCAAACGCACGCAGGCACGACGGTAGTGGTGGTTTCGAGACACGCGTGCCCACATCGTAAGCTGGACCTTCGAAGACTTGGTTCGCTTCGTACAGAAAATGGAATAGTACTAGTAACAAGAAGCTACTAGGAACAAGTGCATCGCTACTAGGAACAAGTGCCTTCCTAGTAGTAACAAGAAGCTACTAGGAACAAGGTCTGCGGTGGCTTCATCGAACGCCCTTGACTTGACCCTCTCTAGGGTTGCACGGAGTGTTTCTGTGCCGTCTATGCAGCAAGGTCAAGATGTTGACGTGTCCACAACTGCGAGCCGGCAAAGCATTGGTAAACAAGCAACTTTCGCAGCCAAGATTCTAAACCCATCAAAACTGCAAAAACCATATTAAATTAGATTAAATAAGTGTTGGATGCAGTGATGTTGATGAAGATCCTGCTGGGGCCCCGGCCTTTCCAACGATCCAGGCGTGCCAGGTGCGTCAGCAAGCGCCGACGGACCCGTGGCGCCATGTCTAAACCTGTCTTTCGACGTGGGCGAAGGCGGCGAAGGAGACAGAGAGTGAAACATGCAAAGCTATAGAAGACGATTCAAACTGCTCAAGACCTTGTTGTGGTCCCAACTGTGTCTGAGATGTTGTGACTCAGGACAGCCGGCATGATCAAGCCCTCAATGCATGAAACTTCTCCCAACATAGGGACATAACAAACGGAAGATTTTGTTGAAGGTGGAACAATTAATTCAACAAAACGAGTAGTACAAAGATCCCAACTGAGATCTCAGCTGGCAGTCGTGATAATCTCCAAATCCAGCCAGTCGTGCTCATGATCACCTGGCATGTCACTGTTCTATGCTGTTGGGTGTTATGTGCATGTGTGCAAACATATCAAGATACGTTTATATATATATATATATATTATTTATATATATATATACTGTATATGTGGTTTTTATTGTTATTTTATACATAAATATACATAATATGTCTGTGTTCAGGCACGTGCGGGGCAGACTTCTCGAAGCAGCGAGCCTTGAGCTATGATGGCAGAGGCGCAAGCAGCCCTGACGCATTCATTGCGATCGTTCAAGGCCTAAGCAGTTCAGCTGCTTGCGGACCTCCCCCGTTTAGCCAAAGAAGGGAACAAAAACACTTCGACCAGTCGTTTTCCTCAAAGCTGGAGACCTTTATCCTGTCTTTGTCATTGAAGTACGTTTGGCTTTGTACGCCAGGCTACGCCAGGCCACTAGGAGTCTAGGAGAAACTGTCTTAGAGTCCTTGCAAAGAATCATTCCCTCAAATACACGAAGTGACTTACCAGCTATGGCTCACACGATTCCTCTCTCTCTCTCTCTCTCCGTGCAGGGTTTACACTGTTTACACGATAAGCTCCAAGCTCTCTGTCGCAAGACCTGTGGAGTTCTGAAGTTCAAAGCTGAAGCGTCTTGGGAAAGCTGGCATGTATGGCATTCAAACGATACACACTTCACAGTTCCACAATGCCTACAACATGCTCAAAGACCAGCTCTACTTTGGCCACAAAAGAGCGTGCAAACAAACCACATTTGCAGTACACGATCTAACTATGCCTGTGACTCACCGTGATTCATTATATATATATAATAGTAACTACATATATATATATATATTGTAGGGCAGGAAAGCTTCCCGCTGGTTTGCACTCTCCCATTTTTCTCTACCGACATGCTTCCCATGGTTCTTCAAACTTGCTTCCATTGCTCGTTGCTTCAGGGTCGAAGTAGTCATGCAGAAGATGCACTTTGGTTTCCGAACACACGGAGACGACAAAGCAAGGTGTGGTCCTCGCCCCAGTTGCGTTGAATGCGAACTTGGAGACCACGCACCAAGCCTGTCGGGCCCATCTGATTGGTCAGATCGAAGACCTGGCTCCCTCCGTGAAATTCGAATTCGTCAATCTTTACACTGTAGGGCTCATCAATGCCAGTAGGCCACGCATAGACCTCCAGGTTTCTCGGGCTGGCACGTGGATCCAAAGCCCAGCTAGGGGATTGCTCGATGGCCACATGACTTGGATGCACGGGGCGCCAGAAAAGGATGGACACTTTGGCACTCTGACCTTCAAAGGCAAAGCACTTGGAGGGAGGTCCAGTCTCCCAGGCCAGCACCACTTCTGGTGGATGCGAGGCTCTCAACCACATGCGCCAGTGAGGGGCGAAGGAGGTCATCACACGAGCCACCCTGCTCCAGAAATTGCGATGAAGACCCAGTGTGGTGTGGCTGTGATCAATCTCCGCGCCAGCTTTCCAGGCTGCCCAATCAACACCAAGATCAAGCATCGGATCGGTGGACATAGCACGACCTTCAGCTCTTCTTTGTGCTGCAGCTTCTGCAGCCTTGGCAGCCACCCATGCCTTGCGCTCCGCCTCTCGGGCTCGCTCAGCAGCTTCTACGGCAGCTGTGGTTTCATGCCCTCCATGCGATATTGTTGCAAAAGCTTCTTCCAAACGCTGGAGTCTTTTCCAAGCTATTTCATTCAAAGCATCAGCAGCTTTCTGGGAATCCGCTGCACGTGATGCCTCCATTGTGACTGTGGGCAAAGGCATCGGAGCAGCAGGAGCAGCCACATCAGCATCAAGAAAAGCCAAAAGAGCAACACCCAGCACTGGAGGGATACCAGTCGCAGCGGCGCAAAGGGCAGCAAACGCCACACCCAAGCGTTTGGTGCCACCTTTCTTCGCTTGCTGCATCCCCGGCTGCACATGAAGCTCCTGGAGGGACCTAGCAAAGCCCCATGCGCGCGAACCTGAAAGAGCACTCACCATTCCACAATGGCAGGGGACAGGCTGAGACACGATCGGAAAAGATCTTGAGCCAAACAGTGCTAAGTCTGCCACCATGGTAGTTGAACAAGAAGCTACTAGGGGCTCCTGGCCTTACTGCTAGGAGCAAGGCCGCTACTAGGGGCTCCTGGCATCGCTACTACCAGTAGGAGCATTCTTGCTAGTTGAACAATCTTCCATAGGCCCTAGTTATTTTTCAACCACAGGGTCCTGTGCGTTGTGCGCCTCAAGAGTCTCCTTGTCCGTCGAACAGCCCAGGGCTTCCAGGGCTTCACTGGCCTAGGTTTCGCTGACGTCACCCAAAATCACAGAGTCTCCCACAATCTCATCACAGTGTCCCACAAAAGTCTCATGTGATGTCTATTCCAGCAGCTCGTCGTTTCCCTACGTTTCAGAGCGCTCCTCCATGGGACCAACAGCCACCGGCTCGGACCATTTCGACCGGGGGCGCCGGCCACGTGGCGCACGTCGGCACAGCGGTCTGAACATCGGGCCTCGCTCCAGGGACAAGGGTTTTCCAGCCTTGGGTGGATGTGGTGGACATGGATTCTTGGGAATCATGGAGAGCCTGAGAACCTCAAAAACCCCTCTTTTTTGGAGTTGCAGGACGAGGGATGGTTTTTCTGACTCAACACAAGGTTCTGACATGTGGTTGTCGGGTATGGTGGGTTATGACTCCCCCGATCAGCAGCTGATCAGCCCCAACTGAAGCAGAATCGTAGAGTTGGGTTGCTTGCCTTGAACCCAAACCCGCTCCAAACAACATTCAGCAAAATCTTCTACGACAGATTCAGATTACCCAACAGGTTTGCGGTACCGGGCAGCAATCAGTACCGAGATCAGCACCAATAGGACGGACATGCAGCAACGTTGTAGCCTGGGGACGGTGCAATGGCGGATGCGTTTGAGCAAGAACTAAAGGAGGCCGGCGAGGCGTTCGAGGGTCAACTGGCAGTGGTTCCATTGGTACGAGTATCTCTCGAACTCTGGTGAATGAAGGAAAAATTAAGAATGAGGCATGGTATGCCGCTATGCCATGGCATGCCTTGAACATAAAATGTGTACAACAAAGTTATGAACAAATGAAGAAGGCAAGGCCATCCGCCAAAAAAAACCGTCTTACCTTCCTGTTTTCCTCTCTTTTTGGTAAACATCTATTAATATACATCTGAACAACGTGGGGAGCATCTCACGGCTGGGCTCATTGCTCTTCCGGGAGTTTTGCAAAGCCTGGAGTTGACACTCCACGATGGAGCTCTTCCATTCCTGATATAATTGCATTATTTAATTGCTATCTGCTATGATTGCAGTTTACAGTCTGTCACCGCCTTTGCCTGTGCATAGCAATGAAGTTGTTGGATTCGGCCAACAGTCTTGACTCTCGACCAAACTGTTCCATCCTCCGCATTACAGGTCACGGAAAGACGAAAACTCAGTCGGAAGTCCGTGACATGGCGTCATGTGGTTCACCCATGTGGGTTGCTACGTCGGCATCTGATGGGTCTTTGCTTGTTTCTTCCTCCGGTGCCAAACCCACCCACGAGCCTTGGCTTGACAATGCCCGGAGAAAGCCATCAAGGATAGCACATGCCTGAGCATCCCTTGCCATGAGTTGGATGCTTACTCGTCGCCATCGGCGTTCGACACTTGTTCAAAACGAGGTATCTATGACTATGAGTAATGTGTCAATTGTTTTCCACAGGTTCGCCCTTTCAAAACATGATGCTTGGAGCTCCTCGTGGTCAACAAGAAACACAAAGGCAAATAGACTTGAGGGTGGAAATGAGATGGGGAAACTGGTCAGGGACAAAAGGCAAAATGAGCAACGCACACACACACACACACCTACTAAAAATCGTCCATCTTCTCACCCGCTTTGGCACGCTTCCATGTCTGTAGTCATCAACTCTAAATTGCAGCCAATTTCACTCTTGAGATCCCCTTGGTCCACTTTCGTTGTTCCCCCACACCTCAGTACGTCGATGCTGAGCCAACCCACCCGCCAGCGGATGCCTTTGTCCACCGCATCGCCAGGTGGCGCCCGACCTGGGCTCGGTGAAAGTTGGCAAAATGGAAGCAACGAGTCAGACAGAACCCTGTTTCAATTTCCGCTTGTCCCTTTGCCAAGACCATCTGAAAAACCGCCTTTGTCCAAGGTCTTGAAACCCAATTGAGCAAAGGACGGCTGCCAGTGACATCCAACAACCAGCAGAGAGTCTGAAGCGTTCCGTTGGCAGTTGGGCCCATAGCGAGTCCCATGCAGTCCATTCCAAAATATGCCATGTGTTCGATTGGAGAAAAACAACCAGTTAGAACATGTTAGAACAACTTCCCGGTTTTGCGGAAGGTTCATCTATTCACATACATTGCGTGGCAGTAAAGTAAAACCATCTCCAACTTACCAATATTCATAAACAATGGTTTGAGCTTGTATTTAAGGGTGGTCGTTTGTACCTAAGCCTCTGCAAGGGTGCAGAAGCAGCGGACATGTGCATTCTCCAAACAAGATCGTAAAATGTGTGCCCAGGAAAAAGAAAAAACATTTTATGCAGTGCCACTATTTGGATGACAAACTGTGGCACATTAAGCAGAACAAACCATAGGACTTCCAGCTTGCGATGTGGCAATGGACAAGTGCCAATCCAAAACTTCAACTGAGCCGTGTTCTTGGTCTGTGGGACAGCCACTAGGTACTCATACCTCCGGGAAGCTTTCGCTAATTTTCTCCCCAAGCAAATTTGCCTGCGCGAGGGTGGTGTAAGATGTTGTATGTAAGAGGTGTTTCCGCAAAAGGTTTCGCAAGGTTTTGTGTTAGCTTCATTCTATAAAGCACATGCATGAAAAACACGGCCTTCGCAAAATGCCTTCGCAACGAAACACGGTAGACTCTACGCGAAATGGCTACGCAAGCCTTCGCGCGTCATGAAACACGTGAGGAAATGCTGCCATGACAAGAGTTCCTCCTAACATGTAGCGCTGTGTTCCAGGAAAAAAACGCAACTCAACTGCCCGGGAGCCCTCCAAATTTGTGGTCACACAGTGGATATCCGGCATCACACAATGCTTTTCATCCGACAAATCCTTCCCAGTGCCTCTAGCTGTTTGGGACACCTGGCAGGACAGCTCTGACGCTGGAAACCGATGGACCCGACAAATACTGATCACCAGTGGTTCAACGGGTCCAACAACCCTTGAACGAGGAGGCGTGCGCGGAGAGCTGCGCGTGGGTTGCAGTTGTTTGAACATCGTGATTCTGCTACTCCACGGGCCTCCCACTGCGAAGAAGGCCCCCCTATCATCAAAGGTCCATGACCTTTGCGGTAGCCTCATTGGAAGTCAGCTCAGTGACCAAACCACCATCCCAAAAAAAAACGTGGCGAGGGCTGCGAGGGCCGCGCTTCAAAGCCAGCAGCTCCCAAAGCCTGACTCTGAAATGGTCCGACCTTTTGGGAGATAACCTTGCAATTTTAAGGGACAATGGCGGGGCGGGATACATTGCTTTCATGGCTATGCGGCTGTGTTTTCAAAAAAAAATGTGTTGTTTTTTCTGGTGCTCTGCAGTGCTCGTGACCAACAATTCAACAATCCATTCATGGCTCCTGCTCCAGATGTTCATCAACTCTGCTGTGCTCAAACCGCTCCGGATTCGCGACGTCCAGAGTTGAGGCTGCCGGCCCTCAAAGCGTTGGCGGCTGCCAGGGGCCTCTGATGTGGGGTCGCCAACAAACGAAGCCTCAGTCGATGAAGCCGGTCCAAAGCCGGTCGCATCGATGAAAATCCCTGGAATCCACGTGAATTTCCATGTCGGATTGGGGCTCCAGTTCCACCGTACATGGTTTTCTCAGGTTGTTTGGGTCTTGGACGTCTTTCTGGTCATCTGCAACCAACTAAATGCTGAAATGTTCCCTTGGCTGCAATGAAAACATCCATCAAACTTTGACTTGCACAGAGTCTGCTGGAGCATGTAATCGTAGCAAACAGTCTTGACTGCAAAAGTTCGGACAGCGTTGTAAGAGTATGTGTGTGTACATATATATATATATATACATATTCCTTATATTCATTTATATATATATATATATATCCGCCGACCCCAGCCGGGGAGCGCACCAGAGGACACTGCACGAGAAATCGGTGACAGACAGACAGACCGACAGACAGACAGATAGACCGATAGACAGATAGACCGATAGACAAACAGACCGACAGCCCGACAAACTCACAGACCAACAGACCAACGGACCAAAAGACAGACAAACAGATTGTGGAATGAGATTGCGTAAGAGGGAAATTGTTTGGGAACCGTGGAGAGAGGCTAGCGGCTAGCACACAGACAGATTGGCTAGAGAGAAAGACCTTAGACATAGTTTTCGGATCGGCGTCAGAAAGCAACGCTTGGATGTATGCAGAGGCCTTCGGGGAACATTTTTGGAAGACAAAAGCACGAAGAAGGATAGATAACGGTAAGACAGGATCGAGAATGGATTCAGAAAAATTGTTCACTGCCGGTAAGAAACGTTTCGAACTGACCGATAAGCTTTGAGGGCTATTGTCTGTGCATTTTTGGTGTGGAAGTAGATTGGGTAATAACGTGGCCGGCGAAGTCGTCACGGGCAGATTGGGTAATAGCGTGGCGGATGAAATCGCTAGTTGGAAGAAGGATAGATAGGAGTTTCAAACGGGATTGAGAATGGATTTAGCAAAGGATTTTTCTTGCCGGTAGAAAGCTGGCACAGAGATGCGGAATTCTGGCAAATTTGCTTGCCGCAGCCTGCTGTTCAATTTGTCGAGGGAAGCATCGGAGGAATGCTTCGCACGGGGAAACATCCGCATCACTATCGCATCAGTGCACAGGGTTTGCCTGCTTGAGCATGGCACGCCTGCCTCAGCTAAGGGAAGCACATTCTCAAGTGAGAAAACATGGGATTCCCCGGCGCTCTGCTTAAGTACTGGCCGTCCTTGTGGTTGTTGTCGTTGTCGTTGTTGCTGTTTTGATTTGCAAGAGGCCCCTCAGGGCGCTGTGATCAAGACGAACAGACACAGCCAAACCTGACAATTACCCCTGACTCTAGATATTGACGCTATATTGCCCTGGCGCTGCCATGTGTGTCTTGACCGTGCTTTCTGGCATCGCTCTTTCAACATGACCACTTGGTTGCCGATGATGCCTCTCATGCGGTTTTCCTTCCCACCATTTGCCTGCAGCACTCTTCGCGCAAAACTTTAAACGCGCCGTCCGTGCGCCACCCGTTTTTTTAATTTATCGGCGCTTATGATTTTTGGGCGGCATTGATCCTGTTACGGCGGGCATTTCCGGTGAGGTTGCGCAAAGCAGCCTCACTCTTCTTCAAAAACTCTTGTTTTGAGTCTGAGCATTCTCTTCGGGTGCGAGTACCACGCGAACAGCCTATCCCTTGTTCCGCCTGAGATGTGCTTCAAAGAATCAGAAAATTGCCTATGTTGGCTTTCTCAGTGTTTTGTTCATTGTTGATTCATGTCACAACAAGTTGCGATACTCTACAAGTTCGGGACTGTTCTTTAGGGATTTACACGGCGTTTCGATTGCTCGGTGTCTATGCGTGGGCTTGAAGCACGCTTGTCTTCAGCCGTTCTTCGACAACTCTCCCGCAACTCCACAGAATCCAGAGCCCAAAGATCTGCCAATAAAGTGCAAAACGTTATCCTAGGTTGCACTAGCCGGCATCCTGCCTTTTGTGATCCCTGTCATGGCAGCGGTGGCCAGGTTGCGACCCGTGCAAGGATTTGAACACGTAGCCGCTGGAGAAGAAGAGATGGGTTTATTCCGAGACTCGGCGGCGTTGCTTTCAGAGAGCTGGGAGGTTGCAGGACCCAGCGTTCAACGGTCAAGATCATCAGGCGGTCGGGCTTGCTTTTTTGGTCACCATGCAACGAGCGCAACGAGCATCAAACTCGGCGCAGTGGTTTTTGATTGCTTAAACTTCAACTTTGGGGTGCTTGAGATGTTCGGCTTTGTTTCCCCAGAAGGGCCTGGTCTTTGTCTCTACAATAGAAACCAGATTGCGTGATCCATGTGATACCATGTGCGTCATCCCCACACCACTGGAGCCGCAATTCACCGTGACCCGATTCCGCTTTCCAATCGCTCGCCCGAACTCACCATTCGGCAGATGGCAAAGAGACGGGCCAAGGGGTGGAGACCTCAGAACGGTCGAGGTCGCCGCCCAAGAGGCGAAGAGGTTCAGGCGGCAGGGGGCGGGAGCCCTTAAGTATGCAAATAAAAGAATTAAAACAAAGTTAAAAATAACAAAAAAAATAAACTATATTTATGTGTATGTGTGTAAATATGTGTGAATATCATTCAACACGCTCCCCTACACACGCCCAGATGTTCGGCCTTGGGCGCATTCCCGCGACGCTCCCAAGTCTGCGGGTGGCTCATCTCTGTACAGTGATTTGCCACTGCAAATCGCCGAGCGATACATTGAATTTTGGGACCACCAGCGACTCAAGGATGCCCAAGCCAAGCAGGAAGGGTTTCCTCAAGTCCTGCGATTCCTCTCAAAATTACTGCACAGAAATCGCGCACCTCTGCATTGGGCCACATGCGCACGCATAAATCAAGTTGCACCACGTGCACAACAGCCTTGGGTCAAATGACATTTCCAGCGCAACTGCCACATCCTCGCACGCAGCAAGGTGCCTCATTCTAATGTTTAAGAGATTGGTAGTGCTCTAAGATTGACCCAGCAACTGCCAGGGCTGCAACAAAGTCGTCTGATGCAAAGCTCTTGACGATTTGATCAAACGAGCTACTTTTGCAGGTAACATGTCTCCTCACATGGAGAGAAGCCAAAATGTGCAGGCACAAGCGCATTATGTGTATGAATGTATCGGTTGCATCAAAAAATGTCATATTCGTGGAGGCAACTCATAATTCCAACGATGAGATTGTCTGGCAGGAACATGTGTGTGTGTAACCCTTGGAATCATAGGGATCCTTTCGGATTGTTTTCGCTTCACAGTTGTTTTCCTTGTGTAGCAGGGGGACTGGAGCCGATTTGCCTATCCAGTCCAACGAAGCTATGGCATTTCGGCGGATGAGTGGTCTGATCAACCACTTGTACCTGCACAATTTTTAAACCTTTGGTAAAGGGCTAATGCACTCGGCAGACATGAACGAACGTCGTCAG